ATACATGGATAAAGTAATAGACACTTCTCCTTAATATTCCCCTCCATATCTACTGATTCAAATTTGATTTGGTAAAAAGGCAGGGACAATGCTCTAGACAATTATCGCAGTAGTTTTTAACACATGTAAAAGGAATGCAGTTCTGCACCAGATCGTTACATTTTAAAATGATCTACAGAAATCCACATTAAAGGAACTGGCAAGGATTTAGTTCTGAATGAAACTGGCAATATCTTTACTTGGATTTTGGAAAGTAAACCTTTGGGGCAGCCAAATATTTAAGGCCAACAGAGACCTTGCTATCCAACCCAGATTTTTTTAATGGCTCTCAATACACTCAGCACTTCAGCGTTAGAAGTCAAGGGCTTCTGGGAACTCAAAATGAAGCGGGCTTGTGGACCATGTCTCTAACAGCTGATCAATCTAGAAGCCCAAAATAGGCAGTCAGCAACAGGAATAATTTTTCCTGTTGCAGTAGATAAAAGCCAAGCACCACTCCTGCTTTTGCCTTCAAAACCATCATTTGTGAAACTCTGCCGTCATTCAACAGAAGTTGGAGAAACCATTTATAGCACAATCTGAACCATGTCTACTCAAGAGTAAGCCCCATTAGACCACAGAGGGGCTGAATGCCAGGTAAACATGTATAGGATAGTAAACCTATCTGTTTGGTCTTCTAGGTATCTAAGCCAGCTATTACTGAGTAGTTTTTTGTTGTTTCTTTTTTTAATTAAAAAAACTACAACAGAAAACTTGAAAGGCACACATTGACCATATTCCAATGCAGTGGAATGGATGAACTTAGACACAGGAGAAAATCTAAAGAAAGAATGAAGGAGATCACAGAAAAATCAGGGCATGATTTATGGAGGCAACAAAGCTTCAAAGTCTAAGAGACACATATAAGAATTCCATGTGGCTGACAGCCACAAATGATGCTTAATTCTTGATATGTCACTATTTTATGCTGCAGGAGCTTCTCCCATCTTTTCGTCAGCCCCGTTTTATTTTCCAGTTACACCAGGCTGTCTACTGTTTCTCCCTCTCTAGTTAGCCTTCTTGCCATAGTACCTGAAGATCTCTTGACTTGGTGTCCCATATTGTGGTGGTGCTACTGCTTTTTGCGATGCCTTCAAGAATATGGCTAAGGAAGGGGAGCTGGAAGATGAACTGAACTGATCATCCTCTATCATAGGGTGCCTGGAAGCCACACTTTTAACGAACGACAAGCTATTTTATGCTGCCGAGCATTCAGTATCAACACACACACACAAACATAAGACACCTGGAACACAAAAGAATACTGCTGCGTGGGCAATCGTTTAGCCCGCAGTGACTTTCAAAACCAGGACAGAGCCATTTCAGTGTTCTCTACAGCATCTAACACATCACTAGCACTAAATAAAACTATGTTGTCACAAGAGCTATATAAGGCTTCAAGATGAACACACTCTTCCCGATGCAAGGTAGCACATTTTGCAATGTTCATCATATTCAGGGTAGACATATGGAAATTAGTGGGGTGGAGACCTTTCATTTCAGCGGGATGTGACTTGGGTGGACATCACCCATACAGAACTGGGGAGAAATGGAAATGGGAGAGAATTAACCATCTCATACTGATCACATTAGTACTGCAGAATATCTTGTTGCTTTCAAATAATGAGTAATCTAACCTAACAGCCAGCAAGACGGCCTGCTGGATTTATTTTCTGCTCACATTTGTTGTAAACTCATTTAAGCTGTTTGCTAGACTGCCGGGATCACAGACTGGTTAAGGGAGATGCCTTGGTAAAATGCCTGATTTTAGCATGCATCACCACAGCCAAGTTAAGACAATGAAAAGAGCTGTCATAAAGCAAAGGTCAGCCACAAAACGATGTGATCATCATGAAAGACGCCAAGTGAGAAATAAGCTAGCCAAGGAAAAAGCAGACAGAATTATGACTGTTTTCCTCCTTCACAGATCCCATGAGCAGGTTTAGAAGAGGTTTATGCAATTTGTTCAACTTAAACTACTTGAACGACTTACCAGCCACAAGCTTTGTCGCCAAGATTTGGGGGCTTGCTCTCCCTTCTTAAAATCAGCATCATAGAAATGCTGACAATATCCAAATGAAAATATCTATGCTTCTTCACCAAATGAAGCAATTCAAACACACTGAATGCTTTGAGCCTTTCCTTTCTTTGCACACACCCCATTCTGTTTTGAGCACGATCCTAAAGAAGAATTCTGGAGAACTTGGTACTTTGGTCACAACTGTGTGGCATTTTGGTTCATCCTGTGGGTTAAACCACAGAGCCTAGGACTTGCCGATCAGAAGGTTGGCGGTTCGAATCCCCGCGACGGGGTGAGCTCCCATTGTTCAGTCCCTGCTCCTGCCAACCTAGCAGTTTGAAAGCACGTCAAAGTGCAAGTAGATAAATAGGTACCGCTCTGGCGGGAAGGTAAACGGCGTTTCCGTGCACTGCTCTAGTTCACCAGAAGTGGCTTAGTCATGGTGGCCACATGACCCGGAAGCTGTACGCTGGCTCCCGTGGCCAATAAAGCGAGATGAGCGCCGCAACCCCAGAGTCGGCCACGACTGGACCTAATGGTCAGGGGTCCCTTTACCTTTAATATCTCTTACCCTATTATGGCTTTTTGAATTTTTTTCTGAAGGACCAACACAACTCTCTAGCATTTCTGTCAACCTTGCAACATAATAGATTCCCCAGAGCTTTTGGAATATGAAAGCAAAATATCTTTTAACATTTTAGAGGCTTGTAGTATTGTGGACAGTTTGAGCATATTACACCGATAGTGGCCCGATTGCACTGGCTGCCAATTGGTTTCTGAGCCCAATTCAAAGTGTTGCCCTTGACCTATAAAGGCTTAAGCAGCTCAGGACTGCAGTACAGTGGTACCTCAGGTCCAGAACTTAATTCGTTCTGGAGGTCCGCTCCTAACCTGAAACTGTTCTTAACCTGAGATACCACTTTAGCTAATGGGGCCTCCCACCGCCACCACACTCCTCTTCTTTCAGGTCTCTGGCTAATTAAGCCATCTATTTGTGGGGAGGTGTTATTATTTTGATTGTTATTATGTTGTTTATTTTTGTGTTTTTATCTTGCAAACTGTCCCATGATCCTAGGATGAAGGGCAGTATACAAGTTAATAAAAAAATGAAAAATAAATAAAGGAAGAGCTTGCTTTAGGAAGTGCGTAATTGATACTTGTGCTTAGACTCTCGGCAAGGAACAAAATGAATAAAAACAGCTAAGTATGAATTATATTGAATAAATATTTGCATTCATGTTCTAATTTCTGTTCAGGCCTACTTTATGATTTTGCTCAAAACTACAGGAAACAATGAGAAGACCCTGTAGAAACTGGTCAAATTCAGAACCTTCTATGACGTTATTGGCCAGGTATTTTCCTTCCCTCCCACCGCTCAAGATAACCTGGGAAGGCCTCCCGCGCCAACTGTGCAACAGCAGAAAAACAAAACAGAGATGGCTGCTAGTATCAAAAGCCAGTTCCCCTCCATCTTCTTCCTCTAACAATTTCTCCAGCTCCACCCCAACATATGCACCAAGTATGTTCCAGAATAGCAATTGGAAATTACTTAATGACTGGAATTATTATAAAAGAGACGCTTCCAAGTTTTTGCAGCTATTTGGGAAAGTCACAGCTAACAAATGGAAGTAACCATGTTTTCTTCAGAAACGTTTAAGAGCTGGAAAGTTGTAGTTACTTTAGCAGAGTACCCAATATAAGGCATAATGAAGCAATTTAGGGAATGGAGGAATCAAGGGTCAAAAGGTGCTTTAGCACGGCACCTTAGAGACTAAGAGAGGAATTCAACGCCATGCTGTTACAAGCTTTTCGCCAGCGCAAGCATTTCTGGATGCCCAATGGAACAATCTCCCATCTCCTCCACATGCACATTGTTTTTGGGGTTCTCTAGACACACACACACCCAAAGCCAATCTGGGATGGGCGCAGTGGAAGGACAGCAGGGGGAAACTGCATTACACTAGCGGAAGTCCTTACATCAGATACATGAAATGAGCCACAAAGATTGTAGGCATATATGGCCATACTTATGGGGGCCAAAAAGTTTTAGCCCAGTTAAGGAATGAGTTATAAAAACAAGAAGCTTGTGGCACCTTAAAGACTATCAAAATTATTATGGTATTATTTCATGCACTGTACTAGCCTACACCAGATTTAATTCATTAGCAAAGCATCTAATAAATGGCAAAGGAAATGGATTTTTTGAATATCCAGAAATGGAAGGCAGCCACAAAAAAGGATTTCAAATGCTTCATGGCACCAGGAACCACCAGACCTGAACTAGTGTTTGTAGCATGCAGGGAAAATATTTTGCAGCATTAACAAAATGACCAACATTTAAGCCAACTGTTGTGTGTGAGAGGAGAGAGTGGATTTTGAGCTATGCAAATAATCCGATTATCACTTTATTTGTTAGCTCCTGAATTCTTTTATTTACTTGTCAGGGTTCCTAGCCCACCCCCCAAATGGAAAATAACTCAAGGTAATTAGGGCAGAAAACAAAAATTATTAGTAAGACGCCATTATCCTAAAGAGAATCCAAGAAAAGTTTATTTTTCACAACATCATCACAACTTTTTCCTTTACTAGGAATATTTTGGCTGGTTTTTAAGACTACTAATAGTAGGCAGTTGCAGAATTTCATTAGTAGGTGGCAGTCCATGAAAACATTATCTTTTTCTCTTTATACCCAAATGAATAAGTGGATCCTTACAGGACACTCCTCCTTCCACTGCCTTTTTAACAGATGGTGCTGCACAATAATATTTCAAGAAGCTTAAAAATTTGCAGCATAAGGTAATTACTACCAAACCTGTTTTTTGGAATAAATCTAAACTTCTTCTTCTTTTAATTTGGAGAAAAACATGAAGTTATAAAAACCGGCCAAGGTTTTTCAAATTACCCTTTAACATAAAGTATGAAAAAATATAGGACAACATACCTGAAAAAGAACATAAACAGGGCAGCAGTAATGCAGAACAAAAGGACCTACAAAAAGGAAAAAGAACATTATTATAAATAGTTGTTATCAAGAAGTGTGTAGACACTGATTCCGGGTTGTGAAAAGCTTGGAAAAAACCTGGGAGAAGAGGAGTGTGGATTCAGAATTATCTGTATTTTATTTTATTTTTAAAAAATAATTGAAGTGTGATGGTATACCGGTAAGTGAAATAAACTCCTACAGTATGGTTATCCTGAATTCTCTGCATAATGCATATTAATAAAATAATGAAATTTTAATCCTCCCTTAGAGCACAATTGTAAGGGAAATGGACTTGTTTCAGATCACCTGATTCTGTGAGATCAGCTCTCCCAAACACATCATTTTGGAAAAAAGATCAGTGGGTCAGAATAAGAGTGCCAAATTATTTATTGTTTTCAAATTTAACAAGTTTGAGGTCTCTTCAAGTGTCCCTTATTTCCAACGTGCTTTGATTCCAACATTCTGAAGATTTCTGCCTCCTGCTGTCCAAGTGCTAAAGGATTTGGGAACATTGCATGGAATACTAGAGCAATGAGATGACAGAGCAGGAGTCCAAAAAGCTTTATGGCAAAAAAAAGAGGCCTGCCATTTTGATACGGCTATGGCTTAATCTTTCTTTCTGGTTTCCAAGCCTTTTTTTTTAAAAAAAAAAAAAAGCTTAAATTTTCTGTGGAATCATTCTTTTGTCAAAGTTTTCACAAATGAGAATGCTCCGGGATTTATTCTAATGTTTAGCTAGACATGTTTTGTGGAGTGTCAGAAAAAACCCCTGTGTGAAATATGTTTTTGTACAGTTGGTCATATGGGATTTCATAAGGTGCTAAGTGGTTTCTTTTTTTAAAAAAAAGAAACAGATGAGAAATGAACTTTGACGCTGAAAGTACCGTATATACAGATGATTAGCAACTGAAGTGATGGAATGAAACATGGGTTAAAAGAAAGCTGCACAGGCAATTTCCACCCTCTGTCTCTATTTAAACATCCCTACGGACACAAACTTTGTCCTTGTCCTAGCCAGCACTGAACTTCTGCCAAAAGCAAAGTAGTGTTAGTTTCAGCAGCCTGTGGTCCAAAAAGTGCCTCCAGCAGCTGCAGTTCTCCTCTGGCCTTGAAGGGACTCCTTCCTGTTCAACCTTCAGTAGAACTTTGGCTTGGGAGCACAGTTCGTTCTCTCTCTTTCAACAGGCGGCTTAGCAGATCACAGGACAAGCTGCTGACTCTCCTTTCAACTCCTTGTCCTTCCTTCTCCCACCCTACTGTTTTCTTTTCTCATGTATAACAGCGCAGGATGGGTCTCTGCTGTGTCCTACTGCCATTCCCAGGATTCCTGGAGCTTTGTTCCCGTTTGCTAGTCTTAGTTTTGTCCTTCACCTGTCCTGGAGAACTGATCCTTGAAGAAGACTCAAAAATTCGTAGAGTTGTAGGGTTGGAAGGGAACCCAAGGGCCGTCCAACCTCCAGCAATGCAGGAAGCACAGCTAACTCACACCACAATGACTAAACTTCTAGAAAAGTCAGGTCAACAGAAGGGAGCATCTCTCAGGCTGAGACGAGGCCTCCTTCCTCTGCTAGGCCCAACAGGCAGAAGGCGGGTTTACAGATTGAACTAGACTGGCCAAGAATTACAAAATCACCAGACAAACTGGGCAGATATACAGATATTAGTAAGTTGGCGTCCTGGACTGAATTCTAGAAAGCATTGTAAATAATATACGAGTCATAAGAAATAACTACAGGCAACTTCCCATTTGTGCACATATAGCACACATGCGCCATTTTGGGCACCGGAAGGGGGCAGGGCAGGCTTATGCTGACCCATGTGGGGCCTTGGAGCGTACTCCCGTGTAAATGGGGAGTTGCCTGTATAGAGTTTTCAAGCAGCCACTTTGTGAAAATCCCGCATTAACCCTTAGTATACCATACCATACCATAACATAAAAGTAAATAAAAACAGAAACTTCAGCATATTTTGAAGGGATAATAGCCACTTTGTAACAGAGAGAAAATCCTGGTCACAAAAATTATAATTTGGGGTTGGGGCTCGGCTTTATGGTGGGATGGAACCTCGGTACCAAACTACAAGATAAGGATAAGGAATAATATCTCTCCCCAAACGACTGTGGGGGTGTCCCTTTACTCCCCCATTCTTTTCAAGGCACATCGATTTTTCTTGCTCCCTCGCTGTCTTTTTCACTTCCCCAAATTTCCTGTCTTTTCTTCCTTCCTGTATCTTTCTCTGTTGATTCTTATTTTCTCTTTCCTCTTTCATGTTCTGTCTTTCAGTTGCAAAAAGTTGGGGTGGACGGAAAGACAAGCATTGTGCTGGTTGCTTGTAAAGAAGAAAGCTTGGGATATATTTCCTGCATATCCCCGACAGACATGCAAGTTAAACTAAGGTTACCAGGTTTTTTTTTCAATGAATCCGGGGACACTTTTCAACTTCAATGGATTTTGTCAGGGGACTGATTTGTAAATCTGAGGACTGTCCCTGGGAAACGGGGACGTCTGGTAACGTTAAGTTAAACCAAAAAAGGCTGGAATTCTCCCAGTCCTCTTCCCTTCCCCAACCATTAATGTACATTGGAGGCATTCATCAGGATTTGGGCCAAGCGACAACTAGCAAGTCTACAGAAGCATCCAGACTATGGGCTGACATACAATTATTTCAACAGTTAACTACAATTGCACATATATAAACACTGCTTGCAACTCCCTGCCGTTTTCTCCACGTGCTTCCATTGCTACCTTCTGGCAAAGATCCATGCATAATTTCAGCACAGATATGCGGCCACAATTGCATCTCAGCATGTTGGTTTAAGTTAATTATTTTATTTTTCCAGCAGTGGGTGATGCTGGCAGCAGTTCAAATTGCTACAAGGCCTTTTTGATCATTAACAGCCAACTTGGGAGCATGTGATTAAAGGCTGGATTCAAACTAAGCTTGCTCCACTGGGTTTTTTCTCCCTCACAAAAATAGCCTCTGTTCATTTTTTCAGATTTTTTTTAAAAAACCACTCAGACTATTAGTATTGTTTCTATACTTCATGACAAAGAAGATGAAATTTAAAAGCACCTTTGCAAAAGTCTAGGTCACCTGCAGGTACAATAACCTTCTAAAACTTAACCTTTAATGTTTGCCAACTCCACAAAACAAACTCTTCTCACTAGGGAGCTTGGCTTGAACATTAAGTACAATGCATTGTACAGATCAGCACAATCCTGAAGGTAACCTTGCTGTAGGAGTTGTTTTTTTAAGGCTTAATCTTCTACCAGATAAATTGCTACTTTACCTTTACATTTTACTTCTAGTTAGATGAAACTGGCAGGAAGTTTCTCATGTAGCTACTTAAGACATTTTTCAGTGACTAAAAAGTGGACAATTTCAGGGACGCAGAAGCCACATTCATACCATACACTTAAAGCGCTGCGATACCACTTTAATCAGTCATAAAAGGTAAAGGTAAAGGTACCCCTGCCCGTACGGGCCAGTCTTGACAGACTCTAGGGTTGTGCGCTCATCTCACTCTAGAGGCCAGGAGCCAGCGCTGTCCGAAGACACTTCCGGGTCACGTGGCCAGCGTGACATCGCTGCTCTGGCGAGCCAGAGCCGCACACGGAAATGCCGTTTACCTTCCCGCTAGTAAGCGGTCCCTATATATCTACTTGCACCCGGGGGTGCTTTCGAACTGCTAGGTTGGCAGGCGCTGGGACCGAGCAACGGGAGCACACCCCGCCGCGGGGATTCAAAGCGCCGACCATGCGACCGGCAAGTCCTAGGCGCTGAGGTTTTACCCACAGCGCCACCCGCGTCCCTCTTAATCAGTCATAGCTTCCTTCAAAGAATTCTGAGAGCTGTAGTTTCTTAAGGGTGCTGAGAGCTATTAGGAGCTTATTAGCTCTTCCCAGAGCTACAGTTCCCTGAATGGTTTAAGAGTCAAACCCTCTTCCCAGAGAGCTCTGTGAATTGTGGCTCTGGGGCGGAAATGGGGTCTCCCAGCCACTCTCAGCACCCTTAAGAAACCTCTGTTTCCAGAATTCTTTGGGTGTGGGGTCCCCCCCCTCCAAAAAAAACTTAATAAAAGTTAATATGGTGGCGGCTAAACTAAATTTGGGGGTGCAGGATGGATCTTTGCACCCCGGCAGCGCATATGCTGACTGCTTTAAAGTGGTGTGATAGTGCTTTAAATGTATGGTGCGAATGTGGCGGACAATGGTCAAGATTCAAAGGGCAGTTTTGCTAATTGGCCAAGACAGCCTCCCTAGATCAAGTCCTTGGTCATACTGCCTAACTGGCTCTGCTCTCGTCCTTTCTTGGGTGGTTTTGCCTGGCTAAGATGTTTCCCTGAACTATGGTGATGCTTCTTGCTTTTTATCAGAGGCGTGTTTTTAAGCAGGGATGCTACAGCACCTCCTGCATTTTTAAGCATCTCCCCACCCCTTCCCTGACAGCGGTGCTACCTAGGTTCTGTAGGAAAAGAGCAAAAGTGAATGCAGTCTACGACAGTGTTTCCCAACCGGTGTTCCACGGCACACTAGTGTGCCACGGAACGTTGCCTTGTGTTCCGTGGGAGGGAGGCGGGCGAGTCGGGCGGCGAGAGGCGGGGCGGCGGCGGCGAGCACACGCGGGGCGGCGAGCGAGCTCCCTCCCACATCCCATCGCCGCTCGCTTCGGCCGGCCTACTGGAGGAAGGCGCGAAAACCTCGCGCATGCGCAGGCCTTCCGCCTGCGACAGCCCAGTAGGCCGGCCGAAGCGAGCGGCGATGGGATGTGGGAGGGAGCTCGCTCGCCGCCCCGCGTGTGCTCGCCGCCCGACTCGCCCGCCTCCCTCCCACGGCACACCAGCCTACCTACGTGGGAGGGAGGCGGGCGAGTCGGGCGGCGAGAGGCGGGGCGGCGGCGGCGAGGAGAGGCCGCCCAGCACGGGGCTCTCGCCGTCTGCCTGCCTGGCTGCCTGCGAGCTCGGCGGGCAGCGCTTCCGCCCGCAGCGCCCGCCTCGCGGCTCTCA